CCTGACCACATGAATGCATATTAAATGAGATGATGGTGGTGGCTGAGGCAAAGAGGATTAAGTGACTTGCCCAGAGTCCCACAGCTAGTAAGTGTTTGAGGCCATGTTTGAACTCAGGAAGATGAGGCTTCCTGATTCCAGGCTCGGCCCATTAAACTTAAACTTTTAGGAGAAAGAAACTACGTATGCCCACCTCTGCAGCTGATCTGCTTTGCAGATGAGATAGCACCTTTTAAAAATCCTTTATTTTGTCCAATAATTTTAATTTTTTCCCCTTATCTACTATGTTTCTTATTGCCAGACTGCGTTCAATGGATTATAAACTTGAAGGTGGGCAGGGTCAGTTTTTTTGGTTTTCTTTGTATCCCTCAGTAGGGTGGTGTATATAAGGGACATCTGTATATAAGGATTCCTGTGGGCGGCATATACTCAGTTTTAAAATGTAACATTATGTTTTATTGTGTGTTTATTTTGTGAAATATTTCCCAATTACATTTTAATCTGGTTCAGGCAACACTCAGGAGTGTTGTAATCCTATGTATTTGACATCTCTGACACCTAGTAGATACTTAATAAATGCTAATTAAATTGAATTAAATCAGAGAGGCTGCTAAGCAGCAGTTTTGATCGCTTAATTTATCATCTTTTGTTTCCTAATACTCATCCTTTAATGGGGTCACTGGAAATTCTATGGAATCATTCTATGTGTGTCAAGTGTTTGGTCTGTGTGACCCTGGGCAAGTCACTTAATCCCAATTGCCCAAATTTTTTTTTAATTAAAAATTTAAAAAAATCTTAATGGCTTAAATTTAAGATTTCTGGGATACCTGTTATAGAAGAGACTGAACTGGGGGTTGTTCAAAATAGGCAGAGGATGGAGGGAAAGAAAAATACTAAATAATCCACAAATTGGATCAACACCTGAACAATCTAAGCAGAAACACCAGTAGTGTCACGTCCTACAATGAGACGCATACCATTTTATTTAGCTAAGCCTAGTTAAAAAAATGAGCTTCAAAAACTTGACAGAAAAACAAAACAAAAATTTTCCTGAACATAAAAATCTACATTTTGAATAATCTACATTGAATGACTTTTGAATAATCTATAATTTTGAATTTTATACCACTGTATGTACTATAAAGATAGAAATGTATATAAAAGAGTATATACTATACTTTTTTCATTGTGCACCTTACATATACTCATTGCCACATACCAAGAGTCTGCACATAAGTGTCATTTTTAATATTTAGAATTTTAGATACTTCTATTGTGGCAATATACCATCATTTATATAGGGATGTTTGGAAGTCTTTATGGAGAATAGATATTTCTGTGGCTGTTGTAACATATTTTTAAACCTCAGGTATTAGCATATCCTCCATCATTATGCTATTGTGAGTGCAAATTTTACTAAGGTGAATTTGATGACCAGGATAATTATTGGACTATTGAGGGATGTTGTGGAGGGTGCACTGAGAGGGAAGTTATGCATTTTGAAGAAGTCCATTGAAAACTTTCTTGAAGTCTATCGATTGAAGAAGAAACCTTGAAGTCTAGCGATTCAATGAAACAAAACAAAGCCAACTTCTTTCAACATTTAATCCAGTTTTATTTTTTCACTATAAATGCCAATTTTTTTATTTTTTAGAAAAGAAACTTTAAAAATGTGTAAAGAAGTTATCAAAATACTGCTGTAGTTGATGGAAATGGACTTCCAGCAAAAATCAGGTTTCCATCAAAAACTTGGGGTGAGGAGGGGGAGACAAAAAGATTGTCAAACCATTATAAAATCCTCTTTTTAGAGAACTCATTAAGGAAGAGATTTCACACCAGGTTAAAAAAATGATCTTCAACTTCACATCTTCCAGAAGTTTTGTTTAAAAAGCAAGAAATGCTGGCAATCACAATATTAAAAACATAACCAAACGGAATTTCCCCCCAAACTGATTTCTCAACATCGGTGCGATATTTCATTGAGAAAAGTTCGCTGGAGTTTTTTGAGATCCTCTCCGAGGGTTCAGTTTTATACGTGTCTTTACAGGTATACATAAACACACTTTTGCACCCTTCCAGATCTAGTACTGTTGCTAGGGACCAACCTAGAGCACCCAAGGGCCGTCAGTTACTCCCTGTGCCCACCTCTGAATTAAAGAATGCTGAGTGCTAGAACTTCAAGAGAACTCATGTGCAGAATACGTCAGCCAGGTTCCCTCTGGCTGCCACTACAACTGCATGCTCAAAGCCTCCCCAGAGGCTTTCCCAACCCACGACTTTCTATCTTCTATTCAGCATCGACTCAAGAATGCTAATGAAAGTTATTTTTGTTGCTCAATCATATCTGACTCTGTGACCCTATTTGGGGTTTTCATGGCAAAGATACTGGAGTGGTTTGCCATTTCCCCCCTCCAGCTCATGTTACAGATAAGGAAACTGAGGCAAAAATGTGACTTGCCCAGGGTCACACAGCTAGTAAGTATCTGAGGCTGAATTTAAACTTAGGTCTTCCTGATTGCAAGCCCAGTGATCTATCCACTGTGCCTCCTAGCAGCTGAAAGTTGTTTTACTGTATTTCCTCCTAGTGAACACAAACATGATGGGTGGAGAAGCACAAATAAGCCAATTAAATGAGATGATGGTGGTGGCCTTTCCATCCTGCTGATTTGCACACCAAGTGGCTGGGAAGTCTTTGCTTTAACCCTAGACATTTGGCTTTGCTAGTTCACATATAACCTAGCTAGTCACTTAACCCTGTTTGCCTCACTTTCCTCATTTGTCAAATGAGCTAAATGGCAGACCACTCCAGTATCTTCACCAAGAAACCCCAAATAGGGTCATGAAGAGTCAGATATGACTGAACAACTACTAAGGTAACAAAGCTTTGCGTACATTGTCTTTCTTTGATCCTCAAACAACCCTGTGAGGTAACTAGGGCATGCAATATTATATATTCATTTTGCAGATGAGGGTACAGATTTACAGAACTTCTGACTTGCTCAGGGTCACGTGGCTAGGTGGCAGTAATGCAAGATTGTAATCTGGGTTTTTTGATGCCAAGTCCAGGGCACTCTCCATTCTACTGGACTATCTTCCTTGATTATCATAGGAAAGCACTTCGACTTGAGGTTTCATTTCAAATATTTTACATGAGTCCTCTAGCACTAATGGAACATATTTAAAGGGGATTGGAGCGAGTGCAGGAAAGGTTACTGGCCCCCGTAAGCTTTGAGACCAATAACGTTTAACATTATTTGTAACAGAATATTTGGATGTTGCTGGGAGAAGTTTATAGATGGAAGGCAGATGTTGGAAAATTTGAGAAGATAAAAGACAGCAATAAGGTCACAGAGTTCTCATCCAGCCATTTTAATAACATCTGAACTAATCACAGAACATTCAGTATTATAGTTACATGAAATTATGAAACATGACAGTACTTGGATTATGGAAATGGACATTCTTTCTCATCAAACAAGGATTCCATGCCAACCAATCCCTGTGGTTCACACTCCCAAATCATCCATCAGCTTCGATGTCTTTTCAGTTGAGTCCCTGAGGAGCTCAATTCATCCTGTTTAACTTCCTAAATACACATTAATGTCCAGTGAAAATAAAGAGGCTTGTTAACTTTCCCTTTTCTGGATGTTGTTTGAGAATGAAGACTAGAAATATGTGGTCTACAGAGAAGGGCCACAGATGACATCCTGAAAATGGTCTAGGAAAATTGACTTTTTACCAGGAATGTCCATGTGCAATTTGAATAAGTTTCGGTATTTAGCTTCCCTTTAATTGGTTATGACTGAGGAAATGAAACATCTTGACACTAGAGATCCTGGTGAAAAGGGAGCTATTTTAGCATAAATATACTGACTTTTGGAAGGAAAAACAGAGGTAACAAAGACTAAAGTTAATTACATTTTGATGAGATTATTTTTTAAATGGAGCAAAACCATTGCTGAAGTAAGCTATATGTCTTTGTCAAAAGCCATACTTTTGGCTGAAACTTGTTTTTAATTTTTAATCTAATTAAGTTTTAGTTTTTTAAAAATTTTAGGGCTACAAAGTTTTTAAAGTGTATTTTAACACACTTTTACAATATTCTTAAATTAAGTCAGTTGTAGAATAAAAGCTTAATTTTAAAATGGTCTTAAAAGTTCTTCACGAACCTGTTAACTAGTAGCTCAAATTTAGTGTAGCCATATTCAAAAAAGTTAATTCCACCTACACATAAGGATTATGTGTGGATGATACCTTCCTCTGGTGGCACAGACATCACTGTTCCAATGCCAGGATAATGCCACCTGAGTCACTTCACCAGGTTTGTGTGTGTGTGTGTGTTATTGGCCAGATCCTCCTGCTGCTAAGTTCTTTCCTCAAAGTTAGTGCAAGGGGTGGGGCAGGAAGTTGCATAGATACAGAATCATAGGAGAGGATTTACCTGTCCACGTCTAGATACATTAATTCAATCTGGTAGTTTGTCACTCACTAAGAGCAAATCAAATTTGGTTAGCTGAGTGGTAGAAAATTCACATTTCATTAAAAAAAATCTACTTCCTTTTTTTTTTGGTGGTGAAGGAAATGAAAGTATGTTGGCCAATTTTTGTTGTTGTTCAGTTGTTTCAGTCATGTCTGAATTTTCATGATCCTATTTGGGGTTTTGACAAAGATAATGGAGCAGTTTGCCATTTCCTTCTTCAGCTCATTTTACAGATGAGGCAACTGAGGCAAAAAGGGTTAAGTGACTTGCTCAGGGTCATACAGCTAGTAAGTGTTTGAGGCCAAATTTGAACTCAGGAAAATGAGTCTTGCTGACTCCAGGCCTGGTGCCCTTTCCACTGTACCACCTAGCTGCCTTTATGGGCATTACATGGTCTGAAAGCATTTCTACAGCTCCCCAAGAGACTGAAAGACAGAGAGAATGACCGAGAATAGGAGCAAAACCTATGATAATCTTTTTCCATTAAAAGAAAAATTAGATTTTGAAGATTTTGGTTCTGTATTACATAAATGGTGAGTGTGTGTTACATAAATGGTGAGTGTGTGTTACATAAATGGTGTGTGTTACATAAATGCACATACATGCAGCTCTACCAGATACATGGTTATGTGCATACATACACATATATCAAATATCTCTATCACCATATTTACCTGTGATCTATGAGTTAGATTACTATTTTTGGTCTAGACCTTGGATTTCATCCATTTGAGGGTAATCCTGGAAACTCCTCCACTGAAACATCGGCAACTTGTAATAACTTAGAGTCTCGGAAAATTGCCTAGGGTTGCTGGGAAATGGAAAAAAATTTGCCCACAATTACCAAGAGAGGTGTCTGGGATGAAACTTGAACTTGGATTTTCCTTTTCACTACACCATGCTGCTTGTCATTGCTTATGACTTGAAGGCATCTATCTCTATATAACTCTCCCTATCTGTATGGGGATATGTATGTTTGTATGCGCACACACATGTATATACGTACACACATGTATGCATGTGTATTTACATACACAAATACCCACAGAGACATATGCATAGTATGCTGTACAGATATATACCCCTTACTGGGATGGTGTCTACCACCTATGAGTCTTTGCTGAAGTCTCAGAACAAAATCTGACCACCCTCTGCTGGAATCCCTGAGAACCTGAATGCCCTGACTGTAGAGTTTGGGTAAGTCTGGGGCAGAGGGAGATTTCACACTATTTACTCCCCTTTAGAAGAAATGTTAAAAGCCTAGGCAGCCATGAGGAACCTTGCCTCTTTTCCTCTGGCCAAACTTTTTTCCGCCTCCCCCCGCCCCAGCCCTTCTACTATCTGTACCATCATTCTAAAGAAAAATAAATAAAATAAGCTGGACCTTCCAATGATTGAATGACAAACTTCTCACTCTTCTGAAACAAAAAGGCAAATTCTATGTTTATAGTGCTCTATTCCCTAAGTGTTTTCCAGTCTGAACAGAAAAACTACACAGAGTAGGTCCTCAATGAGGCATTTTAATGCCATGTTATATTACAGAAAAAGACATTAAAATGTATACTTCCTGAAAGCGTGCCTATCAATATTATTATTTATTTTTGCAATGTTGCATACAACAGAAGGCAAAATACAAAGTTCTCTATAGGAAGAAGTAGATATATTCTTAAAGAACTAGATAAAGATGTAAGATAAATTTGTGTTTAAGTGACATATTTGCAATTTTGAGAACTTACCATGAGCAAACATCAGGATAGGGCAGAAAATTTTTGTCATGTCACTGTAACTACAGATCATGCAAATAGAAAAATTGAATGTTTTGAGTTAAGAGCTACTAATTTTCTATATTTAATTAAGATTAAAAAGCTTAATTCTGTACCTCTCTTCTCCTCTTTCCCCGAGTTTTTATTTTTTATTTTTTGCAAGTAAATCAGACTTTGTACCCGTACAATAGTTCAGCAACTGGGGAAGAAAGAGGTAGACTTTGAGGATCTCTCTTCTCAAATGCAGGAGTCACTAAATAAATACACCAGGGGTCCCCCTCTCCCCTGATGAAAGACTAGTCATACTCCTACCTACAGTAGCAAATGAAAGCAATTGATTACAGACAAGTAAAACACTGGTGAACTGAACACAAGACAAACCTGAGAATCCTAGCAAAGAAGCAAAAACAGGAACTACATTACTAGCAGGTGCTTAAAGAAATAGGTGATTTCCCTAGATCCTCTGTACCTTAGAAAAACAAAATCTCCTTAGATTCGGAGTCCCCAGTTACATGATATAAAACAATTGTACGTCATACATTCCATGAATAGAAAACTTTGGGGTAAATTTTTTTAAATGGGGCTTTGGGGAAAAATGGGAAAAGGGAAAAGATTTTCAAAGAGCATGCAAGTTTTTCACCTCTCCCAAATACCCTGTTCTAGAGTTTGTGCAATGGCCTAAGGCAGGAGATTTGTCAGTCAGTGTTCCTCGCTTATTCCCTCCTGCAGTGAAAAGAAGAGTAAGGAAGACTCAATCAATGAAAAGAAGTTAGTGTTAAGAGGGGAAAAAAAAATCCACCTCTTTAACAATGCATCCAGCTTAATACGTTTTAAGAACATTAATCAAAGTCAGTGGTGAGGATATTTCCAGACACTTATCTTGATGATCTTGGTTTTAAATGTCAAAAGAGAGAAAGTCATTTAAAACCAGAGATCTCAGGCAGCTAATTGGGAAAGGAAGGGGGAAAGAACACCACTCAACTCTTCCAGTTCCAAAGACAAGTTGGGGATGGTTTCAATGGCTAACTCTCCCCACATCACTATGAACCTATCCTGCATGGAGCAAGCAGCTTACTAAGTTAATGGGTGATTACTCCCAGAAAGCACATACTCTTCAGTGTTACTCTTTTTACCCATGGGGGTTAGGGCTAGCCGAGGCATTGTGTATATATGTCTGATGCATAGATCCTCCCTATCAGTGTTTCCTCTTTTCAACTCAAAAAAAAGATTTAAAAAACAACTTTTCATTCAACATCCCAAGGAATATTTCTTTTCCATTATTATTCTGAGACATGCTGTGTCTCCTTCCTTAGTTCAACATTTATCTAAGCATGTCTGCAGCCGTTCTGCGGTGGGAGGAGACAGGGTGTCCAGCAGGTTTTCTTCCACAAGCACACAGCTCCGCTTCAGGGATGGGCACGCTTCCAGCTCCAGAGGGAGAACCTCCAGGTGGTTTCCAATGAGCTCCAACTGCACCAGGTTCGTCAACTCCCCAATGAGAGGAGGCAGAGTCATTAAGCTATTCCTCCCCAAGAGTAAGGTCTGCAGCTTTTTGCACTGAAACAATCCATTTGGCAGCGTCTCGATCTAAGAAGAAAAAAAGAGAACATGGTAACTCAGCTCATGGCGTGAAAGTCTCCCTTGCTATTACTCAGTGCTCCAAGAAAGGCACCACACCCAGAGCAGTCCCTCGAGCAGAGGACCTTAACCTGGGGTCTGGGAACTTTCTTCAAAAAAAAAATTTCTATAGCTGAATTTCAATATCATTGGTTTCCTTTAACTTTATGCACCTAAAAGCATGTTCACAGGGATCCATGATGACAAAAGGTCTCTGTCAGGGGTCAGTCTTCTCTCAAACAGGGGTCGAGCCAGAAAGCAGACAGAGCAGGCTTGTGTGTTAGTAAATACCTGGTAGTCAGGTACTGAAGGGCTTAACTGAATTCACACGTTGCACCAATTCCTTGCCTCATCTTTCCACGTTTATTGTATGTTATGCTCCTGTGCACATTCTGTGTTCCAGACATAGGCCAGACTTCTGGCTATTCCCCATACAAGTTACTCCACTTTCTGCCCCATGCTTTTGTCAGGCTGACCCCCATTCTGGAATATACCACCTCCTCATCTCTCTCAGAGTGAGCATAAATAGCAATTGTTTCTGTTTTGGCCAGGAAACCTGAGGGTCTTCCCCTCCCAGATGATTTTTTGACTAGGCAAAAGAGGCCATTCTTTGCCTCATTTCTTACCTAGCCTTAATCACTGAATGGGCATTGCCTCAGTCAAAATGAGATCCTGGAAAGACCTTTTCTTTAAAAAGGCCAAAAAGTCTGCATCTGGGACCATCGCCAATCGTCCTCATTTATATCTTGCCACTGGACTCAGATGGTTCCAGAGGAGAGAGTGAGGTTAGTGACTGCACAACCCTCCCTCACACTTAAATTCAATTCACTTGCAAGTCATGGCATCACATCCCTAATGTCATATTGAGAACGAAGGATAAACAACAACAAACACCTCACTTCTGTCTAACTTCCTTCCAGACTCAGTTCAAAGGTCACTTTCTATGAGATCTGTCCTGATCTTTTGCCACCCCAGTTACTGATGTCCCATCCCATCTCAAAATTACGGTGAAATTAGGCTTAGAAAGGTACTAGACAGACTTGCGATTTCATTAGTGAAAGTAAGGAACTTTCTCCACCAATGCCATTAGTGTGTACTTGTGCACACACTGTGTACAACCATAGGCATAACCTCTACCTGTGAATATAAACCCATGGATATAACCTATATGTATGAATATAAATAGACACATACACATGCAAACAAAAATACCACGTGGAGAGGGGACATCCCTGGAATGTAATGTCTATGAAAGGGGGAAAAAAAAGTACGTGTGGTGTGGTGTGTGTGTGTGTGTGTGTGTGTGTGTGTTAAATGGGTTAGAAGCCACACCTGAAGAGAGTTCCTTCTGATTCTGAGGTCAATTCTTTATCCACTCTGAATGCTTCCTCTGGGCTAGGAAAGTCCTAGCTTTTGCTCTGTGTCCATGAGATTCAGTCAGCATTTGCTGAGGCAAAAATCTGTTCCTCTTTCTTTCTTCTCCCATACTCTCATCTTTATCCACATCAGCCTTGCCTCTCCAGTCAACATCCTCTTCCAGCCTCCCTTTGCTTTGTGTACTCCAGAACTCCTGGCCAAGCTCCCCTTCATCCAGAATCTTGTCATTTCACAATCTACCATCCCATGGTAATGGAAACCTTCCCCTCTCTAGAAGACTCTACAACCCTGGCCATCCTCTTGAATGCTGGGTGGGCTCGTCTCTTAAAGCGGGCCAAGACACGCGGGGCTAGGAGTGGATGACCCACTTTATGCTTTTCATGACTACAGTTAGTATGTCTTTCCGGTACCATCACTCAGCAACAATCTCCTAAGAGGGTCACTCCATTTAAGAGGGCAGCTAAGAGGCATAGTGGATAAGGCTTGGAGTCAAGAAAATCTGAATTCAAATCTGGCCTCAGACATTTACTAGCTGTCTGACTCCGGGCAAGTCATTTAATCCTGTTTGCCTCAGTTTTCTCATCTGTAAAATGAACTAAGAGGAAACTGGCAAAACACTCCAGTATCTTTGCCAAGAAAGTGCCATGGACAAAAGTCCATGAAGTCATGTAGAGCCAATCACAACTGAATGATTAAACAACAACAGCATCCAGTCCAGCTCGTAGTCACAATCGTTTACAAACCTGTGTCATTCTTTCTGCTTTTTCAAAGAGTTTGCTGCCTGGCTCACACTCTTCTTTCTTCTCCACTCTAAACCTTATGCTGATACTTGGGATGTTGAAGGGGCATCACCACTAACCATAGCCACCCACCAGTCCCCAGGACCCCAAGCTTCACTCCACTTCAGTCACATACAGGGATGCTCATAACCTGGACCTCAAGATTACTTCTCTTTGCCCCTAAACTCTCCCTCTTTCCAAACTTCTTATTTCTATCTGAGGCACCACCATATTATCTTCCACTCTTTGCTCTCCTTTATCCCACGCACTCAACCTGTGGCCAAGTCTTGCTGTTTCTCCCCTTTCAACATCTCTCAGTTCAGGCCCCTTCTCTCCCCTCACACAGTGACCACTCTAGTTTCAGCTCCTTTCACCTCTTGCCCAGATTATTGCAATAGCCTCTGGTTTCCTTCCCTCTAATTTCTGTCTGCTCCAGTCCATCCTTCACACTGCAGCCAGAGGAATTTTTCCTTTCTTGCGGATCTGGCCACATGACTCCCTTACTCAATTAACCCCAGTGGCTATCTATTGCCCCTAGGGTAAAATATAAATGCCTCCAGTTAGGTTTTAAAGCCTTATATGACCTGACCTCAGCATACCTTTGCATTCTCACTGGATTCCACATTCTGTGATCCAGCCTACCAGGTATCCTCTCTGTTCCTCCCGAAGGACATTCCATCTTCCATCTCTGCATCTTTGCACTGCCTCTCCCCCATGCCTGAAATGCACTCCCTCCTCTTGGCCATCACCATACACAGTCTGTCTATTCCTTTAAGAAACAGCTCAGCCACCATCTTCTACATGAAGCCTTATGTGATTGCCACAACTACTAATGCCCTCCCCTCCCAAACCATCTTGTGTTGGATATATCTGCATTTATTACATATTTGATATCTCCCTCACTAGAATGTAAACCCATTAAGAGTAGGGATCGTTTGATCATTCATAGGTATCCCCAGTACCTAGCACAGTGCCTGGAACAAAGAAGATGCTTAATAAACACTTGTTACTTGATTAATGATCCGAAACTCGGCAATTCTTCTCTGACTCTAAACTCCCATTCTGGCATCGTTCTGTTTAATTTATGCCTCCCAAACATAGGTAGACTTAGCTGGCCACTGAATCCAAGCTTCACATTTTACAGATGAGGAAACTGAGGCAGATAGAGGTAAAGTGACTTGCTTAGCATCACACAGCTAGCAAGTATCTAAGGGAGGATATGAACCCAGGTCTTCCTAACTCCAAGTTCAGAACCTGATCTGCTGCACCATGTTACCTCACAATGACATGATCTTCATCCTTACCCTGATTTCCAGTGCTTCTACTCATCCATGTCTTCTCCGATCATATCCCATCTTCTCTTCAGGAATCTCTTGGCCCGCTGTCCTGCATTTCCTGCCTTGCCAAACCCCAACATTCAGTCACCTTGCATTCTCCTACTCAAATGCTGTTGAACACGGCTATAGAAGCCAAGTAATTGTGCCTCCTAAGTTTATTACAAATTTCTGTTATTTAATTTTAATGGGGCCGTCATTGCTTCATGACCACCCCCTTCTCCTTCCCCGGCTGAACTCTGTACAACACCTATTACAAACCTTCATTTTCCCTATTGCTCTTCAGCACAATTCTTCTCCTAGAAAAAGTTGTCTAAACTTCTTAACCTCTTCACTTCTGAACCTCCTTCTTAGTTCCTTACAATCTGAATGTTTCTAAAGCATTTTAAAATTCAACATGTCTGGCCTTCTGGAGTGCAGGGTGGGGAAGGAAGAACAGAGGGAGATGGTTCAGAACTTGAAATGTTAACAAAAAAATTAAATTAAAAAAAGAACAAATTCAACCCATCCCAAAGCAGACATCATTAACTTTCCTACTAAACCCACTCTCTCAAACTTCCTTATTCTTGCTGAGGGCACTGTCATCCTACCAGTTACTCAGGTTTCGATATTGATGTCATTCTCAATCTTTTACTCACTCCATATAGCTAGTTTCTGGTAGGAGGCAAATTGTTGGGTTTCATCTTCTTAACTATCTGACAACTCTTGTATGTTTTATTGGGAAATTTAATCTACTCACAAAGTTATAATTGTTAGGTATTATTTTCTTCTGCTTAATTATCTTGTATTGATTTTCCATCTTAAGTCAGTATGTGGTCTCTGTGATTAGCTTTGCTTAGGATAATTTGATCCCAGTCTCCACCCCTAGGCTTTCTCTATCTTCCCCTCCTGTTTTTCTTGTTGGGTGTCAAATTTCTCGAATTTACTTAAATTTTTATTTATCATTGTAGTCTACTTGCTTTTCAACAGTCTAGTACAATTCAAAATTCTTAGCATCTCACCCATCCCCGTCCCAGTCAATCATTCCTTTTACACTGAGTGACATTCACTAGTGGCATCCTTTTCCAATAAGTGTTAATTTACTTCTCTGTTTTTATTTCTTTCCACTTTGGTTTAATCTGAAATCTAGCTTGCCGTTTACAGAATCATAGGACCACAGATTTAGAGCTTACTCTGAGAAGTGTGTCTCCTGAGATGCACTGCTCCCCCCCCCAACAAAATTCATTTTTATGTCACTCTCTCAAATTCCTAGGCAGGTCAAGGAACCCAAAGGATGGAAGAGACTGCCTTTCCACAGCAGCCTGCCTTTGAGCAGAGCCTTGAAAGTATCTCCAAATAATTTCTATTTCATACCTCATTTCTTCCAACCTGAAGAATTTGCCTCAGAGTTAACATCCCACTTCGCCTACAAACACAATGACTCATTTATGATTGAATGTGGATTTTAGTCCCTGGACTATTAATTAATTACGTTCTTTCT